ACTATAGACTAGACTATAGACTAGACTATAGACTAGACTATAGACTAGACTATAGACTAGACTATAGACTAGACTATAGACTAGACTATAGACTAGACTATAGACTAGACTATAGACTAGACTATAGACTAGACTATAGACTAGACTATAGACTAGACTATAGACTAGACTATAGACTAGACTATAGACTAGACTATAGACTAGACTATAGACTAGACTATAGACTAGACTATAGACTAGACTATAGACTAGACTATAGACTAGACTATAGACTAGACTATAGACTAGACTATAGACTAGACTATAGACTAGACTATAGACTAGACTATAGACTAGACTATAGACTAGACTATAGACTAGACTATAGACTAGACTATAGACTAGACTATAGACTAGACTATAGACTAGACTATAGACTAGACTATAGACTAGACTATAGACTAGACTATAGACTAGACTATAGACTAGACTATAGACTAGACTATAGACTAGACTATAGACTAGACTATAGACTAGACTATAGACTAGACTATAGACTAGACTATAGACTAGACTATAGACTAGACTATAGACTAGACTATAGACTAGACTATAGACTAGACTATAGACTAGACTATAGACTAGACTATAGACTAGACTATAGACTAGACTATAGACTAGACTATAGACTAGACTATAGACTAGACTATAGACTAGACTATAGACTAGACTATAGACTAACTATAGACTAGACTATAGACTAGACTATAGACTAGACATAGACTAGACTACTAGACTATAGACTAGACTATAGACTGGACTATAGACTAGACTATAGACTAGACTATAGTCTAGACTATAGACTAGACTAGACTATAGACTAGACTATAGACTATAGACTAGACTATAGACTAGACTATAGACTAGACTATAGACTAGACTATAGACAAGACTATAGACTAGACTATAGACTAGACTATAGACTAGACTATAGACTAGACTATAGACTAGACTATAGACTAGACTATAGACTAGACTATAGACTAGACTATAGACTAGACTATAGACTAGACTATAGACTATAGACTAGACTATAGGACTATAGACTATAGACTAGACTATAGACTAGACTATAGACTATAGACTAGACTATAGACTAGACTATAGACTAGACTATAGACTAGACTATAGACTAGACTATAGACTAGACTATAGTATAGACTATAGACTAGACTATAGACTAGAATAGACTATAGACTAGATAGACTATAGACTAGACTATAGACTAGACTAGACTATAGACTAGACTATAGACTAGATATAGACTAGACTAGACTATAGACTAGACTAGACTATAGACTAGACTATAGACTAGACTATAGACTAGACTATAGACTAGACTATAGACTAGACTATAGACTAGACTATAGACTAGACTATAGACTAGACTATAGACTAGACTATAGACTAGACTATAGACTAGACTATAGACTAGACTATAGACTAGACTATAGACTAGACTATAGACTAGACTATAGACTAGACTAGACTAGACTAGACTATAGTACTAGGACTAGATAGACTAGACTATAGACTAGACTATAGACTAGGACTATAGTAAATAGACTAGACTATAGACTAGACTAGGACTAATAGACTAGGACTATAGGATAGACTATAGACTAGACTATAGACTAGAACTATAGACGAGACTCTAGACTAGACTAGAATCGACTATAGACTAGACTATAGACTAGACTATAGACTAGAGACTAGGACTAGACTTATAGACTAGACTATAGACTAGACTATATACTAGACTATAGACTAGACTATAGACTAGGACTATAGATGACTAATAGACTAGACTATAGACTAGACTATAGACTAGACTATAGACTAGACTATAGACTAGACTATAGGACTAGGACCTATAGACTAGGACTATAGACTAGACTATAGACTAGACTATAGACTAGACTATAGACTAGACTATAGACTAGACATAGACTAGACTATAGACTAGACTATAGACTAGACTATAGACTAGACTATAGACTAGACTATAGACTAGACTATAGACTAGACTATAGACTAGACTATAGACTAGACTATAGACTAGAACATAGACTAGACTATAGACTAGACTATAGACTAGACTATAGACTAGACCAGGGGTCGGCAAACTATGTCTCGCGAGCCAAATGCGGCTCTTTGGATGTGGAGCTGTGGCTCTTTAGTTTCATACACAAATTTTATTTATTTTATAAAAAATTATTTGTATGCATATTTTAAAATCTTTCCGAATCGATTAACAAGCAATGTATTAAAACTAACAAAACACTTCGCAAACGTTTCTACAATATACAAAACTTTTTAACTTTGCTTAATCGTTCTGTACATGAACAAAACAAAAACAAATACTTTTTGAGTGAGTGCTTTTATTTGCCCCTACAATTGTACTTTTGAGAATAAATCCTCATTGAGCCATTTGAAATTTATTTCTAGAAATGCAGTTTATTTATTTCTAGAAATGCAGTTGATCAATTTAAAAAGTAAAGCTTTGTGTTGTGGAAAATTGTCAAAGTTTAAAAGCAAGTTGGAAGATTTAGGTAAAAAGCCAACTAACAAATGAAAATTTAGAGTCATTTTTGAAACTTTAAACAACAAGTTATGATCCAAGCTTTCTAAAGCTATACAAACCTATCACTCTCATTGAATTTGTTCCATGTACAAGTTAATATTGTAAGAAAATGTTTAATTCTTTAAAGTGATAATTGTAAAGTTCCCTATAAACGAATGGGGTATCATATCAGTGATCCTACAAGGTGCCATTAGATAAGATGTAAATCATGATCATACATTCCGAAATTTTCGCGTTTTTCGAATTAAAACATATATTTTGAAAATTTAAAATATAGTAATTAATTAATAATGTGGAGAATTTTGATACAGTTAAATACTAAAAGCTTAGTCTACCTCAAACCTATAAACTTTAATCTTTTTTTTATAAAAAGGTGCAAAAAATTATAAATTTTTATATATTGCACGTTTTAATGACAGTGATCTATGAAAGATTGATATATTTTTGACATAAAATTTTTGCCTATAAATAAGGGACCAGAAAGCGTATTAAGGACCCATCCTTACAAAATTTGGTAATGAAGTTTTGGATCCTATTAAACTTGTTTGTGTTGATTTTCATAACTATACTTGTATTTTAGCCTGTTGTATGTCGGAACTTTCGAAAGTGGACTCCATATGAGGGGAAGGGTCAATTTTGAATCCATCCTTATTAAATTTGGTACAGATATTTTTTGTTCTTATAAAACCTGTTTGTGTCGAATTTCGTCGCTTACTGCTATTATTAAGTCACTTAAGAGCGATAGGGTCATTTTCTAATGGGGATCTAATATGGAGGGTAGGATCAATTATGAGCCGATCGTCACCAAATTTGGTAAAGTGATTATTGTTCCTGTTTGTGTTGAATTTCGTCATAAAATTGCCATTATTAAGCCAGTTATGAGTGTTAAAATCAAATTTGGAAGATAGATTTTTGTTCTTATACAACTTGTTTATGTCGAATTTCGTCTCTATACTGCAACTGTTAAGTCAATTATAATCGTTAGAGTAATTTTCTGAATTGGGGTTGGTCAATTATGGTTCAATGACCGCAATACATCACAGTAAATTTTTTGTTTGTATAAAAAAAATTGTGCAAAATTTCTCGATTGCTGCCTAATTATATCACTCTAATAAACTGTTATATAACAAGTGTTAAAAAACGCATTCGAATGACCCATAAAAATTCTAAAAGTGTTTGTAGTCAAAAATCTATAAGAAAGATTCCTTGCAGAATCGTCTGATAGATAATTAAACAAAAAATATGTTTTTTAAGTGAATTCATAAAGTATTTATAATGTTTTAATAAACAAACATTTTGTGGCTCTTTTAAAACCCATGTTTTGTAAACTGTAAATTTTGGCTCTTCAGACTCAAAAGTTTGCCGACCCCTGGACTAGACTAGAGACTAGACTATAGACTAGACTATAGACTAGACTATAGACTAGACTATAGACTAGACTATAGACTAGACTATAGACTAGACTATAGACTAGACTATAGACTAGACTATAGACTAGACTATAGACTAGACTATAGACTAGACTATAGACTAGACTATAGACTAGACTAGACTATAGACTAGACTATTGGCTAGACCATAGACAAGACTATAGAACAGATTATAAGCTAACCTATAGACTAGACTAATGACTACACTAATGACTAAACTATAGACTAGAAGGTAGAACGGACTACAGACTATAAAATATACTGGACTTAAATACCATAGACTGTAATATATTTAGACTAGATTATATACCACACTATAGGCTAGACTTTAGACTAGACTAGACTTTGTACTAGACTATAGACTAAACTTTATACCAAAGAATATATTCCAATCAATAGTCTAGAATATAGACTAAACTATAGACCAGACTAGATTATGGATTAGACTGGGCTATACACCAGACCATAGAGTAAGCTTGCCCGTGACAGTATACTTGTGTCTCAAATATTCAATTCTTTAATTTTACAAATGTGACGAATATTTACCGTCTCACAGTGTTATAGAAAAAACAAGTATGAATGTATAATCGGTCATGGCCGCCCGATCATTACAAAAATCGGCAATGTGTTTTAAACTTCCATAAAACTACATTTTATTTCATCAACTTATCTTAAAAATTGAGTCATCGACTCAGAAAGTGATTCTGAGGCGATTGATATACTTTAAGGTGGGTGTAGGACCAATTTTGATTTTTTTTTTTTTAATTGAAATGCATATAACTTTGGACTCAGTCATGATTTTTAAACATTTCTTTCACTGTTAGATTCGGTTTCAGTAGATAAAAATACATTAAAATCAGTCGAAGAAGTTTCAAAATTGGTTTTAAAAACTTTGATTTTGTTGGCCTATGTTATTATATAAATTTATTTATTTTATGTAGATATTTTCATGCCATCATAAGCATAGCAATCATGGAAATACATTTCTCTTCAGAATCGTCTAATTGTTTGTAGCTTTCGTACCATTCCACCATATCGCCATCAAAGTGTTCTTTTTCTTCTTCAAACTTGATCATAAATACCGTATTGAAGTCATTAAATTGATTCATGAACTTTTCTTCAATATTTTTGGCTTCATATTTATTTAATATATCGATTATAAATTGAGATTCTGGAGTTTTATTTTCATCTGCCATCATATAATAACAATCAACAGCATCATCATAAATATCTACTATATCCCAAGTCGTTCTTAAATCTTTGCTAGACTGATATTTTTCCACAAACATTTTCAATTTCTTTCTAAATTCTAACACTTCCGGTTTATCGTTGGCCATGAATTCCTCATCCTTAAGAATATTACGGCAGACATCAAAAGCACAGGCAGCATAAGGACCTGATAAGTCCATCAAATGATCGTACGTATAAATGATAAATCGTTTTTGTAGATAATGATCCCTGCGATATCTTTCCTCAAACAAATCTAATTTATAAGAAGGATCCAAAACTAAAACTTTGGCAAATGCAGCCTTTAAAGCAGATATGTATAAAAATTAATACCAAAAAATCTATAGAGCTTAAGATTTTCTTTCTCTCACCCGTACCACGTGCAACACCATAAATAGGCTCAAAATTTTTAAAGAAAACATTTTTTTATGTTCTTTAGTTAGAGATCAAAAACAAACTCCAATTTTTTCGGACATGCTTCCTAAATATATACCTTTGGATTTTGTGTGAAGAAAAAATACCATAATTTTAGTCAACAATTAAAGGTTATCAAAATTGTATTTATAGATTTTTTTAATTCTTGTAATACATTTTTCCAAACAAAAGGTTATTTATAGATTTATTAAACAAGAATGTATCATTTTTTAAATATTAAATATGTCTAGATTAATCATACAGTGGAATGGGACACAAATAAATGTGCAAATTTTTAAATGCAAATAACGCCTAGAATAGACTATAGGCTAGACTATAGACTACAATATAGATTAGACTATAGACTACAATATAGATTAGACTAGACTATAGATTTCACTATAAATTCGACTATGGACTAGACGGTAGAATAGAATAGACTATAGACTAGACCATAGTCTAGTCTATAGTCTAGCCTACAGACTAGACTATAGACTAGACTACAGACTAGACTATAGACTAGACTAGACTAGACTATAGACTAGACTATAGACTAGACTATAGACTAGACTAGACTATAGACTAGACTATAGACTAGACTAGACTAGACTATAGACTAGACTATAGACTAGACTATAGACTAGACTATAGACTAGACTATAGACTAGACTATAGACTAGACTATAGACTAGACTATAGACTAGACTATAGACTAGACTATAGACTAGACTATAGACTAGACTATAGACTAGACTATAGACTAGACTATAGACTAGACTATAGACTAGACTATAGACTAGACTATAGACTAGACTATAGACTAGACTATAGACTAGACTATAGACTAGACTAGACTATAGACTAGACTATAGACTAGACTATAGACTAGACTATAGACTAGACTATAGCTAGACTATAGACTAGACTATAGACTAGACTATAGACTAGACTATAGACTAGACTATAGACTAGACTATAGACTCTAGACTATAGACTAGGACTATAGACTAGACTATAGACTAGACTATAGGACTAGACTATAGACTAGACTATAGACTAGACTATAGACTAGACTATAGACTAGACTATAGACTAGACTATAGACTAGACTATAGACTAGGACTATAGACTAGACTATAGACTAGACTATAGACTAGACTATAGACTAGACCTAGTAGACTAGACTATAGACTAGACTATAGACTAGACTATAGACTAGACTATAGACTAGACTATAGACTAGACTATAGACTAGACTATAGACTAGACTATAGACTAGACTATAGACTAGACTATAGACTAGACTATAGACTAGACTATAGACTAGACTATAGACTAGACTATAGACTAGACTATAGACTAGACTAGTAGACTATAGACTAGACTATAGACTAGACTATAGACTAGACTATAGACTAGACTATAGACTAGACTATAGACTAGACTATAGACTAGACTATAGACTAGACTAGACTAGACTATAGACTAGACTATAGACTAGACTATAGACTAGACTATAGACTAGACTATAGACTAGACTATAGACTAGACTATAGACTAGACTATAGACTAGACTATAGACTAGACTATAGACTAGACTATAGACTAGACTATAGACTAGACTATAGACTAGACTATAGACTAGACTATAGACTAGACTATAGACTAGACTATAGACTAGACTATAGACTAGACTAGAGACTAGACTATAGACTAGACTATAGACTAGACTATAGACTAGACTATAGACTAGACTATAGACTAGACTATAGACTAGACTATAGACTAGACTATAGACTAGACTATAGACTAGACTATAGACTAGACTATAGACTAGACTATAGACTAGACTATAGACTAGACTATAGACTAGACTATAGACTAGACTATAGACTAGACTATAGACTATAGACTAGACTATAGACTAGACTATAGACTAGACTATAGACTAGACTATAGACTAGACTATAGACTAGACTATAGACTAGACTATAGACTAGACTATAGACTAGACTATAGACTAGACTATAGACTAGACTAGACTAGACTATAGACTAGACTATAGACTAGACTATAGACTAGACTATAGACTAGACTATAGACTAGACTATAGACTAGACTATAGACTAGACTATAGACTAGGACTATAGACTAGACTATAGACTAGACTATAGACTAGACTATAGACTAGACTATAGACTAGACTATAGACTAGACTATAGACTAGACTATAGACTAGACTATAGACTAGACTATAGACTAGACCTATAGACTAGACTATAGACTAGACTATAGACTAGACTATAGACTAGACTATAGACTAGACTATAGACTAGACTATAGACTAGACTATAGACTAGACTATAGACTAGACTATAGACTAGACTATAGACTAGACTATAGACTAGACTATAGACTACACTATAGACTAGACTATAGACTAGACTATAGACTACTAGACTAGAGACTAGACTATAGACTAGACTATAGACTAGACTATAGACTAGACTATAGACTAGACTATAGACTAGGACTATAGACTAGACTATAGACTAGACTATAGACTAGACTATAGACTAGACTATAGACCTACTAAGACCTAGACTAGACTAGCTAGACTAGACTATAGACTAGACTATAGACTAGACTATAGACTAGACATAGATTAGACTATAGATTAGACTATAGACTAGACTATAAACTAGACTATAGACTCGACTGTAGACTAGACTATACAGATATAAAAATTTTTGTTTTTAATTAAATGAGAGGTGCCACGCCCTCGATTGCTAGTGTCTCCGAAAAATTTTAAGGACTCTAGATATTATATTTTCTCAGATATTCCAATGTCCATATTATATATTTTGCAGTTTCTGAGATATGCGACTTTTAATCGATATTTGGTATGTGGGCATGGCTGCTCGCCTGCTTAAAATTTTGAAATAAAAAATATATACTAAAGTTAGTCGTACATAATTTGTACATTCTAGCTTTTATAGTTTCCTAGATATACAAATCTGGATTATAGTATTATAGACTTATAGTATAAACTATAGCCTGATCTATAGTATAGTCTATTATCTGGCCTATAGTAAAGAATAGAGTTTAGCCTATACAACAGACTATAGTCTGGCATATAGCATAGACTCTTGTCTATAATATTGTTTAGAGTATAGTATAGAACTAAAGTTTAGTCGTCTGGACTAACTATAGTCAACTAAGTATTATTCAAGTCTATATAGACTGTACAATAGTATAGACTACCGATTAAGGGTATCCAATTCATATTCAAATCTGTTTATGATTATTGCTAGACTTTATTTGCAGATCAAAATGTAATTGCGGATTAATAAAATTTGATAACCTTTTAATAAATATAAAGTAATATTTGAAATGGAATAAACAAATTGTTGTTATAAATACTTTGTATCTGTTTGTTTCATTAGCAGTAACTTGGAAACCGATTAACAAATAACTCCATAATGACGACCTTTAAAATTTACGCATTTTTTATGGTGTTATTTTTAGCACAGGTAGGTGACAATGAAATTTTTATATTACTTATATAAAATCTTATATTTATTGTTTTCCCAACAGGCATTAGTTTATGCTAAACCTTTACAGGATACTTTCCACTTTTTTGATACTTCTGAAGAAGAAATTAAAATAAGAGAAAACCCAACACCGAAACAACAACTTCTACTCTACACCTTTGACAATTTCGTATATTTGGGCAAACATTATGGCGATAATGCAGTCGAAGTTAGCCGTCATATATTGAAAGATGATTCCTTGGTGGGAAATGATAAACCCGAAGTTTTACAGTTTAAGAAAAATTTAATCCAGTTTATGGAAAATTACGAATGTAATTCAAATCCTCAATTAATGTGGGATTATATTGATGTTTATTCAGATTTGACTGAAAAGTATGCGCATATAACAGACGATAATGTTACGCCAGAATCTAGCTATATTTCGGAACTTTTAAAAAAATACAATGCCCGTGATATAGCCATTAAATTCGCTAATGAATTTCAGATGTTTATGGATAATTTCGTTAATATGTTCGAGGCGAATAAAGAGCACTTGAAGAAACCCATGTTGGACTGGTATGAAAAGTTTAAAACTTTAACCGATTTTGAGGATAAACTTGATTCTTTTACTGGATTTCTTGAATTAAATTAAAAATGGTGAAATAAAGTGAGGTTTTGCTTAATATTAATGTTTGAATAAATAGACAAAATTCTTAATATTTAATAATTTTTAAATTGGGAATCACAGAATTTCATAGACATATAAATTTTTAGTACAAAATCTTATTTTTAATACAATATCCCATTTTTAGTATAAAATCAATTATTTGATTAAAATCAATGTTTTAGTCAAAACCAAAATCCTCCACTCTACTCTTTCTAAAAAACTACTCTTCTCTTAACCAGTGATACACTTACTATTTTCAAACAAAAAAATTTAACATTGAAAAAGGGTGTTCCGCTGGCAGTCTTATCATTTTAGCTTTAATCTGTTGATCTGTCTCACACTTATTTACCAATACTTTCTCTGTTATCATGTGGGAAAATATACACATTTTTTAATCAATAAATATCAGCATTAATTCCATATTTTCTTTTAATTTGTTATTAAAATTTTATTGTTTTTATTAGTCTACAGTTAAGTCGATAGTCTAGTATATAGTCAAGCCTAAAGTCTAACCTACAGTCTAGTCTAGTTTATAGCCAAGTCTATAGTCTAGTGTATAGTCTAGTCTAGTCCATAGTCTAATCCACAATCTAGTCCATAGTCTAGTCCATAGTCTAGTCCATAGTCTAGTTCATAGTCTAGTCCATAGTCAAGTCCATAGTCAAGTCCATAGTCAAGTCCATAGTCAAGTCCATAGTCAAGTCCATAGTCAAGTCCATAGTCAAGTCCATAGTCAAGTCCATAGTCAAGTACATAGTCAAGTCCATAGTCAAGTCCATAGTCAAGTCCATAGTCAAGTCCATAGTCAAGTCCATAGTCAAGTCCATAGTCAAGTCCATAGTCAAGTCCATAGTCAAGTCCATAGTCAAGTCCATAGTCAAGTCCATAGTCAAGTCCATAGTCTAGTCCATAGTCTAGTCTATAGTCTAGTCTATAGTCTAGTCTATAGTCTAGTCTAGTTAGTCTATAGTCTAGTCATAGTCTAGTCTATAGTCAGTCTATAGTCTTAGTCTATAGTCTAGTCTATAGTCTAGTCTATAGTCTAGGCTATAGTCTAGTCTATAGTCTAGTGATCTATAGTCTAGTCTATAGTCTAGTCTATAGTCTAGTCTATAGTCCTAGTCTATAGTCTAGTCTATAGTCTAGTCTATAGTCTAGTCTATAGTCTAGTCTATAGTCTAGTCTATAGTCTAGTCTATAGTCTAGTCTATAGTCTATAGTCTAGTTATAGTCTAGTCTATAGTCTAGTCTATAGTCTAGTCTATAGTCTAGTCTATAGTCTAGTCTATAGTCTAGTCTATAGTCTAGTCTATAGTCTAGTCTATAGTCTAGTCTATAGTCTAGTCTATAGTCTAGTCTATAGTCTAGTCTATAGTCTAGTCTATAGTCTAGTCTATAGTCTAGTCTATAGTCTAGTCTATAGTCTAGTCTATAGTCTAGTCTATAGTCTAGTCTATAGTCTAGTCTATAGTCTAGTCTATAGTCTAGTCTATAGTCTAGTCTATAGTCTAGTCTATAGTCTAGTCTATAGTCTAGTCTATAGTCTAGTCTATAGTCTAGTCTATAGTCTAGTCTATAGTCTAGTCTATAGTCTAGTCTATATCTAGTCTATAGTCTAGTCTATAGTCTAGTCTATAGTCTAGTCTATAGTCTAGTCTATAGTCTAGTCTATAGTCTAGTCTATAGTCTAGTCTATAGTCTAGTCTATAGTCTAGTCTATAGTCTAGTCTATAGTCTAGTCTATAGTCTAGTCTATAGTCTAGTCTATAGTCTAGTCTATAGTCTAGTCTATAGTCTAGTCTATAGTCTAGTCTATAGTCTAGTCTATAGTCTAGTCTATAGTCTAGTCTATAGTCTAGTCTATAGTCTAGTCTATAGTCTAGTCTATAGTCTAGTCTATAGTCTAGTCTATAGTCTAGTCTATAGTCTAGTCTAGTTAGCTATAGCTAGTCTAGTCTAGTCTATAGTCTAGTCTATAGTCTAGTCTATAGTCTAATCTATAGTCTAGTCTATAGTCTAGTCTATAGTCTAGTCTATAGTCTAGTCTATAGTCTAGTCTATAGTCTAGTCTATAGTCTAGTCTATAGTCTAGTCTATAGTCTAGTCTATAGTCTAGTCTATAGTCTAGTCTATAGTCTAGTCTATAGTCTAGTCTATAGTCTAGTCTATAGTCTAGTCTATAGTCTAGTCTATAGTCTAGTCTATAGTCTAGTCTATAGTCTAGTCTATAGTCTAGTCTATAGTCTAGTCTATAGTCTAGTCTATAGTCTAGTCTATAGTCTAGTCTATAGTCTAGTCTATAGTCTAGTCTATAGTCTAGTCTATAGTCTAGTCTATAGTCTAGTCTATAGTCTAGTCTATAGTCTAGTCTATAGTCTAGTCTATAGTCTAGTCTATAGTCTAGTCTATAGTCTAGTCTATAGTCTAGTCTATAGTCTAGTCTATAGTCTAGTCTATAGTCTAGTCTATAGTCTAGTCTATAGTCTAGTCTATAGTCTAGTCTATAGTCTAGTCTATAGTCTAGTCTATAGTCTAGTCTATAGTCTAGTCTATAGTCTAGTCTATAGTCTAGTCATAGTCTAGTCTATAGTCTAGTCTATAGTCTAGTCTATAGTCTAGTCTATAGTCTAGTCTTAGTCTAGTCTATAGTCTAGTCTATAGTCTAGTCTATAGTCTAGTCTATAGTCTTAGTCTATAGTCTAGTCTAGTCTAGTCTAGTCTATAGTCTAGTCTATAGTCTAGTCTAGTCTATAGTCTAGTCTATAGTCTAGTCTATAGTCTAGTCTATAGTCTAGTCTATAGTCTATAGTCTAGTCTATAGTCTAGTCTATAGTCTAGTCTATAGTCTAGTCCGTAGTCTTGTCTTTAGTCTAGTCTTCAGTATAGTCTGTAGTCTAGTCTATAGTCTAATCTATAGTCTACTTTCTAGTCTAGTCTATAGGTTAGTCTATAGTTTAGTCTATAGTCTAGTCTATAGTCATGTCTGTAGTCTAGTCTTTAGTCTAGTCTGTAGTCTAGTCTATAATCTAGTCTATAGTCTACTTTCTAGTCTAGTCTATAATTTAGTCTATAGTTTAGTCTATAGTCATGTCTATAGTCTAGTCCATAGTCTAGACTAGACTATAGCTTGAGATGTCGCTCTAAATACAAATTAACATATTTTATTAAATCAATTCGTTTATTTATAAAATTTTACATTACATTTCCTACTTAAACAATTCAAAAATCCACTAAAAGCATCAATTTTCTTCTCAGTAGTATTTATAGATTTAAACTTTTCATACCAATCCAACATGGGCTTCTCCAAGTGCTCCTTATTCTCCTCGAACATACTAACAAAATTATTCTCAAATTTCTTAAACTCAGCAGCAAATCTAGTGGCTACATCAATGCCTTTGTGCTTCTTTAAAAGTTCCAAAATATAGCTAGTTTCGGGAGTAACCTTATCCTCGGGAATGTCAAAATACTTTTCAACAGCAGCTGTATACATGTCAATTAAATCCCATACTATGCGAATATTTCTACTAGATTCATATTTTTCAACAAACTGTTTTAATTTGTTCTTAAATTCCAAAATCTCAGGATTAGTATTAGTCATCAGAGACTCATCATTCAAAATACGATTACTGACTACATCGGCATTGTTGGCATACTGTAGGCCCAGAGATATAAAACTATCATATGTAAAGAGTAAAAGTTTTTGTTTCACTGTTGGATTTGTTCTAATATTTCTATCTTCCTCGGAAGTATCATAGAATTGATAGGTATCTTTTACGGGTTTAGTGTAAGTCAAAGATATCTGTTAGAAGGAAATCCAATGTGAAATTATTGATGGAATAATAGTTCGTAATTTCTGCATACCTGTATTAAGAATAACACCATAAAGAAGGTGTAGATATTATTCGTCTCCATGTTACTTGTTAAGTAGGTTCTAAACAACTGATCATTTATTTTTGCAAAATCAGCTACATATTCAATTTTCTCTCTGATTTTGTGAAAGGTTATCAAAATTCCATTAACCCTTAAAAGACGATTTTGTTTGTTTTGATCTATAAAACAAAGTATTACTTGTGAACAAATTAGTTAATTAATATACCACAGTCCGCACTATAGTCTATATTATAGTTCAGACTATTGTCTATACTATGGTCCAGACTATGTTCTGTATTATAGTGCAGACTATATTCTGTATTATAATCCAGACTATAGTCTATACTATAGTTCAGACAACAGACTATACTATAGTTTAGACTATAGTCTATAGAATAATCTAGACTAAAGTCTATACAATAGTTCCCACCATAGTCTATACTATTTTACAATCCAGATTATATTCTATACTATAGTCCAAATTAAAGTCTATCGTATAGTCCAGACTATAGTCAATTCTGTAGTCCATATTATAGTCTATTCTGTAGTCCAGACTATAGCCTATACTATAGTCCAGACCATTGTCCAGACTATAGTCCAGTCTATAGTCTATACTATAGTCCAGACTAAAGTCTATACTATGGTCCCGACTGCAATCTATACTATACTCCAGGATATAGTCAATTCTATGTCCGGACTATAGTCTATACTATAGTCCAGACTATAGTCTCTTCTATAGTCCAGACAATTGTCTATAGACTATTGTCTGGACTAAAGTATAGACTATTGTCTCTACTTTAGAATATACAATAGTCTGGACTATGGTCTATAGTATAGTCCAGACTATAGTCTATACTATGGTCCCTACTATAGTCAATACTATAATCCAGGCTATCGTCTATTCTATGTCCAGACCATAGTCTTTAATATAATCCAGAATAAATTCTCTAGTATAGCCCAGACTATCGTATATACTACAGTCCATACATTATATACTACTCGTATAATCTAGTCTATAAAGGTTTCAAATCATTTAATGTTCATTGCTATTAATTCTTTCTTTGTTTGCAGGTCAATTTTATTACTGTTTAATAGAATTTTGATAACCTTTCATAACATCCAAAGAAGTGTTTGAAATAGAATAAACAAACTGATTTTTTAATTGTTGTATAAATTCTATGCATTCCTTCAAATGTTTAGCAGTTCTTCAGAAATCGCTTAACAAACAACTCCACAATGACGTCTTATAAAATTTACACCATATTTATGGTGTTATTTTTAACACTGGTAGGTATATGAAAGTTCAATTGGTGAGCTGACAAAAATTTCACATTTCATTCTTTCTCAATAGGTTTTTATTAACGCTAAACCCCTGGAGGACACCTTCCAATTCTTTGACACTTCCGAAGAGGAACAGAAAATTAGAGCAAATCCAACACCGGAACAGAAACTTCTTCTTTTTACATTTGACAATTTCGGGTCTTTGGGTAAACATTATGGCGCCAATGCCCTCGAAGTCAGTCGTAATATTTTAAAAGATGAGTCCTTGATGGGCAATGATAAACCCGAAGTATTGGAATTTAAGAAAAATTTAACTTCGTTTGTGGAAAAATATGAATCTAATACAAATCCTCAATTAATGTGGGATATTATTGAAATTTATTCGGATACTACTGAAAAATATGCTCATATAGCCGACGATAAGACTACGCCAGAATCTAGCTATATTTTGGAACTTTTAAATAAATACAATGCCCGTGATATAGCCGCCAAATTCGCTAGTGAATTTAAGACCTTTATGGATAATTTCATTACTATGTTCGAGGAGAATAAGGAGCATCTGGAGAAGCCTATGTTGGATTGGTATGCAAAGTTTAAAACTTTAACCGAATACGAGGATAAACTTGATGCTTTTACCGGATTTCTGGAATTGAATTAATATGGAGGATTATGATGTGATCTTTTTTTAAATTAAATGTTTGAATAAAAAGAAAAATTTGTTAAAAAAATTTTGTTATTGGTTTTACTGTACAATATTTTTTGGATTTCCACAAAAATCTATCATATAGTCCAGGCTATAGACTATACTATAGCCCAGACTATAGTTTATACAATATTCTAGGCTATTAACTATACTATAGTTCAAACTATAGTCTATTCTATAGTCCAGACTATCGACAATACCATAGTACAGACTCCATACTACAGTCCAAACTACAGTCTATACTATAGTCCAGAATATAGACTATAATATAGTCCAGACTATAGTATATACTGTAGTCCAAACTGTAGACTATACTATAGTCCAAACTATATACTATACTATATATAGTATAGTGCAGACAACAGTCCAGACTATCTGTTATATTCTCGACTATATATATCATATATATTCTAGACTATAGCATAGTATAGACTGTAGTCCATATTATAGTCCAGACTATAGATTATACTTTAGTCCAGACTGTAGTCTATTCCATAGTCCTGACTATAAACTATATTATAGTATACTATAGTCCAGTCTATAGTATATTCTATAGTACACACTATAGGCTATACTGTAGTCCAGACTATAGTCTATTCTATGGTACACACTATAGACTATTCTATAATCCAGACTATATACTATACTATATTATGGACTATAGTCCATACTATAGTTAGAATATAGACTATACTACAGGCCAGACTATAGTCTACACTATAGTCCAGACTGTAAGCTATACTACCAGACTATAGTCTGTACTATTGTCCAAATTATAGAATGTACTATAGTCCTTACTATAGACTTTACTATAGTCCAAACTATCGTCTATACTATAGTCTAGACTTTAGACTATAGTATGATCCAGACTATAGTCTATACTATAGTCCAGACTGTAGGCTATACTATAGTCGAGAATATAAACTATACTATATATACTTTGCTATAGTCCATACTATAGAATATACTATATCACAAACTTTAGACTATACTATAGGCTGGACTATAGTCTATACTATATTTCAGATATATACTATAGTCCAGAATGTAGACTATGTATACTATACTTCAGACCATAATCTGTATTATATTCCAGACCACAGTCTAAACTATAGTCTATATTGGATATATTGTATAACTCTGTCCAGACTAAAGTCTGTATATACATAGATCTCGAATAAACTTTATTTCAGAAATCTATTCCATAAATCTCTTAAAAATATTTATTGATACCCAAATAAAGTTCGACACAAGTTATTCACAATAATTAGATTTTTTTATTCAATTAAAAATCCTTAATACAGTCCATTTTTTAGTCAATCAAATCGAAAAATTCTCCAAAGGTATCAACTTTTTCTTCGAAATCCGATATAGACGAGTACTTTTCATACCAATCCAACATGGTCTTATCCAAATGTTCTTTCTCCTCTTCGAATATCTTACTGAAATTGGACATAAACGAAATGAATTCAACAGCAAATTCCAATACAACATCTTGGGCATTGTATTTCTTTAAGATTTCCTCGATAAAAGTAGATTCGGGTGTAATTTTATCTTCGGGCATGTCAATATATTTATCGACTGTATCGGTATAAATTTCCAAAACATCCCATAAATCTTTTTCTTTTTTATTAGATTCATACTGTTCCAAATACAAGGTTAAATTTTTCTTAACTTCCAAAACTTCGGGTTTATCGTTGGCCATCATGGCTTCATCTTTGAGCACGAGACGACTAATATTGGCAGCATTTGCGGAGTAATGTTTAGCCAAAGTTATAAAATTGTCATAAGTGAAGAGCATAAGTTTTTGTGAAGAAGTGGGATTTTTTCTAATTTCTTCTATTTCGGCAGAAGAAAATGAAGATTCCGAAGAGCGATCTATGGCCTTACCCCAAGCATTCTAAAAGAAAACCAAACATTTCCTTGATTTCATTTTTTAATTTATATTGTTTTTTACTCACCTGTACTAAGAACAGGACCATAAATATGCTTAAAATTTTAAAACACGCCATTTTTTGCGAGTGTTGTTTTGTCAAAGACTTCTCCAGCTGTACTAGTGACAAAAATTATTTCACTTTATTTTTATACAAACAACTTTTAATTTCTTAATTAATCACTTTTTCTTTATTACGCATTAGGTTATCAAAATTAACCTGTATTAGAAATTTTGTTTTATAATTCAGTTAATAAACAAAGAAAGAATTAATTGCCAAAAAAAAAACAGTCAAAAAATTTTATTGATTTCTTTATCAGATAATCAAAAATTAAGTGAATCTAAACAAAAACAAATACTCAACAGATCGTAGATGAATCACCTAACATACAAAATATTACAATTTTCGTAAACGTTGTGATTTGCACATTTTTACTTCAAACCATATTTTTAGCCTAGTCTATAGTCTAGTCTAGTCTAGTATAGTCTAGTCTATAGTCTAGTCTATAGTCTAGTCTATAGTCTAGTCTATAGTCTAGTCTATAGTCTAGTCTATAGTCTAGTCTATAGTCTAGTCTATAGTCTAGTCTATAGTCTAGTCTATAGTCTAGTCTATAGTCTAGTCTATAGTCTAGTCTATAGTCTAGTCTATAGTCTAGTCTATAGTCTAGTCTATAGTCTAGTCTATAGTCTAGTCTATAGTCTAGTCTATAGTCTAGTCTATAGTCTAGTCTATAGTCTAGTCTATAGTCTAGTCTATAGTCTAGTCTATAGTCTAGTCTATAGTCTAGTCTATAGTCTAGTCTATAGTCTAGTCTATAGTCTAGTCTATAGTCTAGTCTATAGTCTAGTCTATAGTCTAGTCTATAGTCTAGTCTATAGTCTAGTCTATAGTCTAGTCTATAGTCTAGTCTATAGTCTAGTCTATAGTCTAGTCTATAGTCTAGTCTATAGTCTAGTCTATAGTCTAGTCTATAGTCTAGTCTATAGTCTAGTCTATAGTCTAGTCTATAGTCTAGTCTATAGTCTAGTCTATAGTCTAGTCTATAGTCTAGTCTATAGTCTAGTCTATAGTCTAGTCTATAGTCTAGTCTATAGTCTAGTCTATAGTCTAGTCTATAGTCTAGTCTATAGTCTAGTCTATAGTCTAGTCTATAGTCTAGTCTATAGTCTAGTCTATAGTCTAGTCTATAGTCCTAGTCTATAGTCTAGTCTATAGTCTAGTCTATAGTCTAGTACTATAGTCTATAGTCTAGTCTATAGTGTAGTCTATAGTCTAGTCTATAGTCTAGTAGTCTAGTCTAGTCTAGTCTATAGTCTAGTCTATAGTCTAGTCTATAGTCTAGTCTATAGTCTAGTCTATAGTCTAGTCTATAGTCTAGTCTATAGTCTAGTCTATAGTCTAGTCTATAGTCTAGTCTATAGTCTAGTCTATAGTCTAGTCTATAGTCTAGTCTATAGTCTAGTCTATAGTCTAGTCTATAGTCTAGTCTATAGTCTAGTCTATAGTCTAGTCTATAGTCTAGTCTATAGTCTAGTCTATAGTCTAGTCTATAGTCTAGTCTATAGTCTAGTCTATAGTCTAGTCTATAGTCTAGTCTATAGTCTAGTCTATAGTCTAGTCTATAGTCTAGTCTATAGTCTAGTCTATAGTCTAGTCTATAGTCTAGTCTATAGTCTAGTCTATAGTCTAGTCTATAGTCTAGTCTATAGTCTAGTCTATAGTCTAGTCTATAGTCTAGTCTATAGTCTAGTCATAGTCTAGTCATAGTCTAGTCATAGTCTAGTCATAGTCTAGTCATAGTCTAGTCATAGTCTAGTCATAGTCTAGTCATAGTCTAGTCATAGTCTAGTCATAGTCTAGTCATAGTCTAGTCATAGTCTAGTCATAGTCTAGTCATAGTCTAGTCATAGTCTAGTCATAGTCTAGTCATAGTCTAGTCATAGTCTAGTCATAGTCTAGTCATAGTCTAGTCATAGTCTAGTCATAGTCTAGTCATAGTCTAGTCATAGTCTAGTCATAGTCTAGTCATAGTCTAGTCATAGTCTAGTCATAGTCTAGTGATAGATTTAGTTTTTTTTCTCTTATTTTCTTTTTTTTCCTTTTTCCTCATTTTTATATTTTGTATGAAAAATTTTCGGTTTTGGGGGGAGGGGGCGGATTTCCCTTTTTTCCCCGTGAATCCGCGCCTAGTTTCTAACAAACAAACAATTTATGTTTTATTTTGAATGAAAAAGTACCTCACAAAGATAATCGCAGTCTTTAAGTGATGCAACCTATTTGCTATAACAGATGGGGTATACAAATTTAGAATACATTTTGTGATAATATTACTATGATAACCTTTAGGGAATTTCAATTTTTTTATAAAGAAATCAAAAAATCTCGAGTATATAAGGCGGAACATTTTCTAATTTTCAACAGTAGCTTATTTAAGAATCTTCAACAAAACAAATCAACAATGTCAAAGTCTAAAATTTGCACAATATTTATGGTCTTGGTCTTGGCCCAAGTAAGTTGGAAGCAATATTTTTGTTTATATATTAAAAAAATGTTTGTTATTAGGCCGCCTTGAGTAAATCTGTAGATAGTTCAAATTCTGTAGAGTCTTCTGAAGAATCTATTAAAAATCTAAACCCCAAGCAACGTCTTGTCACCTATATAGCTATTAGTGTTGTTGGCATGGTTCAAGAATATTCTGAAAAATGTATGAATGTAAGCCGTAATATCTTAAACGATGTAGATTTCTTGGCCCACCATGAGCCCATGGTTGTAGAATTCAAAAACAATTTAACCCAGTTTGTCGAAGCCACCGAAGCCAACAAAGATATGGAAAAAATGTTCGATTTCGTTGATATGTTCTCCAACACTACCGATTTCTACTATGAAATACCTGAAGATAAACTCACTCCCGAACACAAATACATTATGGAAGTTTTGAACAAACATCACTACAAGAATATTGAAATTGAAATGACCAAAGAATTCGCCCCCGTCGCCGAGCAATTCATGAAAATGTTTAATGAATACAAGAGCGATTTGGATAAGCCTATGTTGGACTGGTATGAAAAATACCAACATATCGACGATTTTGAGGATAAGCTTGAGGCTTTTACTGAATTTATCAAAATGGCTGATGACTGAAATTTTTGCAGATTTAGTTAAAATTAGTAATAAATAAGTAAATAAAAATAAATCTATTAAAAATAATTTTAAAGTTTTAAAATTTAATTTACTCTTAAACGAAAATCTGGATCGACATTTGTTTAGTAGCTCCTTTACAACAAATATGAAAAGATCTGTATTAAAATTTGTCGAATAAACTTTTGATAAATTGTTAAGAATCAGGCCCTATATGCATTGGTTTTAACTTTATGTATGAGTTGAATGCGAAAGTTACAAATATTTGTTATATATTAACCAGTTTTAAAATATTGTTACCTACTTCTTGGATTATTATATTAAACAAATCTGAGTTAAACTTACCTTTATAAAACAGCCAAATAGATCCTTTTATATCGTGCAATGTCTTCGATTTTGTTATAAAATATTGCTTTTTATTAACTTTATAAATTTATTATTTATTTAATTTTTATATAATTTTTATGACGATTTTTGAACTACAGGAATATTTTTTTAATGAGTTATTAGAACTGACCTAGAACTGTAGTAGAATTGAACTAGAACTGTAACTAGAACTGAACTAGAACTGAACTAGAACTGAACTAGAACTGAACTAGAACTGAACTAGAACTGAACTAGAACTGAACTAGAACTGAACTAGAACTGAACTAGACTGAACTAGAACTGAACTAGAACTGAACTAGAACTGAACTAGAACTGAACTAGAACTGAAACTAGAACTGAACTAGAACTGAACTAGAACTGAACTAGAACTGAACTAGAACTGAACTAGAACTGAACTAGAACTGAACTAGAACTGAACTAGAACTGAACTAGAACTGAACTAGAACTGAACTAGAACGAAACTGACTAAACTGAACTAGAACTGAACTAGAACTGAACTAGAACTGAACTAGAACTGAACTAGAACTGAACTAGAACTGAACTAGAAACTGAAACTAGAACTGAAACTGAACTAGAACTGAACTAGAACTGAACTAGAACTGAACTAGAACTGAACTAGAACTGAACTAGAACTGAACTAGAACTGAACTAGAACTGACTAGAACTGAACTAGAACTGAACTAGAACTGAACTAGAACTGAACTAGAACTGAACTAGAACTGAACTAGAACTGAACTAGAACTGAACTAGAACTGAACTAGAACTGAACTAGAACTGAACTAGAACTGAACTAGAACTGAACTAGAACTGAACTAGAACTGAACTAGAACTGAACTAGAACTGAACTAGAACTGAACTAGAACTGAACTAGAACTGAACTAGAACTGAACTAGAACTGAACTAGAACTGAACTAGAACTGAACTAGAACTGAACTAGAACTGAACTAGAACTGAACCAGAACTGAACTAGAACTGAACTAGAACTGAACTAGAACTGAACTAGAACTGAACTAGAACTGAACTAGAACTGAACTAGAACTGAACTAGAACTGAACTAGAACTGAACTAGAACTGAACTAGAACTGAACTAGAACTGAACTAGAACTGAACTAGAACTGAACTAGAACTGAACTAGAACTGAACTAGAACTGAACTAGAACTGAACTAGAACTGAACTAGAACTGAACTAGAACTGAACTAGAACTGAACTAGAACTGAACTAGAACTGAACTAGAACTGAACTAGAACTGAACTGAACTAGAACTGAACTAGAACTGAACTAGAACTGAACTAGAACTGAACTATATATTTTTTTTCAGAACTGAACTAGAACTGAACTAGAACTGAACTAGAACTGAACTAGAACTGAACTAGAACTGAACTAGAACTGAACTAGAACTGAACTAGAACTGAACTGCTGAACTAGAACTGAACTAGAACTGAACTAGAACTGAACTAGAACTGAACTAGAACTGAACTAGAACTGAACTAGAACTGAACTAGAACTGAACTAGAACTAAACTAGAACTGAACTAGAACTAGAACTGAACTAGAACTGAACTAGAACTGAACTAGAACTGAACTAGAACTGAACTAGAACTGAACTAGAACTGAACTAGAAACTGAACTAGAACTGAACTAGAACTGAAGCTAGAACTGAACTAGAACTGAACTAGAACTGAAACTAGAACTGAACTAGAACTGAAACTAGAACTGAACTAGAACTGAACTAGAACTGAACTAGAACTGAACTAGAACTGAACTAGGAACTGACTAGAACTGAACTAGAACTGAACTAGAACTGAACTAGAACTGAACTAGAACTGAACTAGAACTGAACTAGAACTGAACTAGAACTGAACTAGAACTGAACTAGAACTGAACTAGAAACTGAACTAGAACTGAACTAGAACTGAACTAGAACTGAACTAGAACTGAACCTAGAACTGAACTAGAACTGAACTAGAACTGAACTAGAACTGAACTAGAACTGAACTAGAACTGAACTAGAAACTGAACTAGAACTGAACTAGAACTGAACTAGAACTGAACTAGAACTGAACTAGAACTGAACTAGAACTGAACTAGAACTGAACTAGAAACTGAACTAGAACTGAACTAGAACTGAACTAGAACTGAACTAGAACTGAACTAGAACTAAACTAGAACTGAATAGAACTGACTAGAACTGAACTAGAACTAGAACTGAACTAGAACTAGAACTGAACTAGAACTGAACTAGAACTGAACTAGAACTGAACTAGAACTGAACTAGAACTGAACTAGAACTGAACTAGAACTGAACTAGAACTGACTAGAACTGAACTAGAACTGAACTAGAACTGAACTAGAACTGAACTGAACTAGAACTGAACTAGAACTGAATCTAGAACTGAACTAGAACTGAACTAGAACTGAACTAGAACTGACTAGAACTGAACTAGAACTGAACTAGAACTGAACTAGAACTGAACTAGAATGAACTAGAACTGAACTAGAACTGAACTAGAAACTGAACTAGAACTGAACTAGAACTGAACTAGAACTGAACTAGAACTGAACTAGAACTGAACTAGAACTGAACTAGAACTGAACTAGAACTGAACTAGAACTGAACTAGAACTGAACTAGAACTGAACTAGAACGAAACTAGAACTGAACTAGAACTGAACTAGAACTGACTCAGAACTGAACTAGAACTGAACTAGAACTGAACTAGAACTGAACTAGAACTGAACTAGAACTGAACTAGAACTGAACTAGAACTGAACTAGAACTGAACTAGAACTGAACTAGAACTGAACTAGAACTGAACTAGAACTGAACTAGAACTGAACTAGAACTGAACTAAGAACTGAACTAGAACTGAACTAGACTGAACTAGAACGGAACTAGAACTGAACTAAAACTGAACTAGAACTGAACTAGAACTGAACTAGAACTGAACTAGAACTGAACTAAACTGAACTAGAACTGAACTAGAACTGAACTAGACGAACTAGACCTGAACTAGAACTGAACTAGAACGGAAACTAGAACTGAACTAGAACTGAACTAGAACTGAACTAGAACTGAACTAGAACTGAACGAACTGAACTAGAACTGAACTAGAACTGAACTAGAACTGAACTAGAACTGAACTAGAACTGAACTAGAACTGACTAGAACTGACTAGAACTGAACTAGAACTGAACTAGAACTGAACTAGACTGAACTAGAAGAACTGAACTGAACTGACAGAACTGAACTAGGAACTGAACTAAAACTGAACTAGAACTGAACCAGAATTGAACTAGAAATGAACTAGAACTCTTAACAGCAACACTGATTAAACATTCAGCCGGAGGTCCACACTACGCGTCTTAGCGTCAAAGTATTACGCGCTGTTCATACCTACTTCGCGTTATACGTTTCAAGTTACATGCGACGCTTTTTAAGCGTAAATTTTTTGTTTTATTTTTAAAAAACTTCGCGTTTTTCTACAGCTTTTAATTATATTTTCATCATTAAACTCATTTTATTTTATTCAAATTGATAAATACGCATTAAATAAGCAATATAAGTGTCAAAATCAGCTGACATGTTCGTGCGGCGCTTGTGACGCTTATAAAAGTAGAAAGAAGATCAACTTTAAGCATTCTACGCTTTTGTGCTTGTAACTTTAAGCATACAAATACATGGAATCTACTTTTTTGACAGACGCATAGAATGCAAGAAAGCGTAGAACGCGTGGTGTGGACCTCCAGCTTTACAATTTCCTTTAACTAAAATGATATTTTTCCCCTTTTCTATTATGTACTCACAAACACTAACAACAAAAACAAACTACACACACACATTAATAAAGCAACAAAACCAAAATCCAATGAAACAATTCAATCCCCCCTCTCTATCCACAAACTACTTTATCATCTTTCACACTTGCCTCCTAAACATACTTCAACATTTTCAGTGCATTCACACAAACAAAACATTAACCTTGAAAAAGAGTGCTACGCTGGCTCAATGCCATTAACTTGCCTAAACCACCTGCCTCCAGACTCACTCTCTCCTTTGTATTCTTTACATTTTTCTTATTTTTGGCAAATTGACACAATGACTTGTTAAAATTTCTAGATTGTTTTGCAACTCTATTTTCACTATTAATTTTCACTTTTCCTGTTAATATTTATTAAAATTTTATCAATTGCTAATTAAATAAACACTTTTTAACATTTTTTATTAAAAATTTAAATATTTTAAGTAATTTTTCTTAATATTTTCACAATTAACACGACATCTACTTTAAGCAACAAACGCACTTGTAAAAAATTCTCACTAAACTAAAGAAAACAAACAAACAAACGCAGACGTAAACGTAGGCAGAGCGACAGAGGGAGAGAGACAAAGTTAAAGTGTGTTGTTATTGTTTTCAATAAACAACAAATGGGTGGTAGAGTGGGCAGAGATGTTATTGCAATTTGCCAAAAAAAACACTAACAATTCTCTTTAGGTTTGTATTCATGTGCTTGCAAGTTTGTTAGTTTTGCTCTTTTTAATGCAAAAAAAAATTAGTTTTGTTTGAAAGCCGGTAAGAATCACGTGTGAAATTAATAGTAAAGAAAAAAATATCATAAAATATTAAAAGTAATACATAGTTAAAATTGGTAAATAGTATAAAATTGAAGAAAAAGTTTTATTTA